GCGTATTACTATCAAATACTCTTAAAACAGCTATGGCTCCATAAGTCGTAAATAGAAGAAATTAATAAACGTAACAACTTATGATTCAAATTTAATAAAGGCTTGAAGTTCCTACCATCTGTATCAGAAAATAGACAATAAGGCAAACTATACGTAACAAAAATAAAAACAGCTCTTCATTTTGACGAAAATGGAGAGAGAAATAAGAAATAAGCAACAGGATATAAGCTTCTTTATAGAACCTTTTAAATGAACAGAAAACCCTCTTCATGTACTATTAAAAGGAAAGCCAAAGGAATCTCGTTAGTAAATACTAAACTTAGGATAATAAAATATCAAACCATCATAAAAGTTCATAAATTCAAGTCAATCCACTTGCAAATGGCAAGCCAACATGGATAGAGGAAATGTTTATATAGCTTCATAAAAGAGACATACCAGGGATACGAGAATATCCACATAAGTTAGAACCCGCAAAAAACGCTAAGCATAAAAACAATCCAAAGACATTATAAAGGATACGCGAAGTAGCCCAACACCCAACGGATTATACTTAAACAATCTAAAAATAGCACAAAATAAACCAAGCAGAATTTAAGAAAACAATAAAAGCAACAATAGTAAGCGATATCGAAAGATTATATGGTAATTTTATAAATAAATATCATCTCCTATAAACAGCAGATACGATTGAAGGGATAAAGACCCTGATGGTCTTCTTTCGTTGTCTATCAGTTGTTTTACTTTGTTCTCGCAACTTGGTCATATTGTCAGGAAGACTTAGAGAATTGCACCTTGTCCGGGGTCCCGAGTAGATGTTTAACTTTTACTAACGAGATTATTTTGGCTCTTCCCTCAATAGTTCCTGAAGAGGGTAGAACTTTGTTTTTAGTTTGTTGAAAGGGTTCTATAAATAAGTGTGTACTCTGCTACTTATTGCTTATTTATTCATCCATTTTTGGTAAATCCATTCGAAAGGGTACACCTGATATGATAAACAAGTTATAAAGTGTGATTTCGAGGGGGATGTTACGAGGATAAAGGTTAAGTGAATACACCAGGACACGATTATGGATAGCACAATGGTTCAGCAAACAATTAGTTAAAGAATCGACTTCACTCGCTTCTGACATGTTGTGTGGTGATGATAAGAATGGCGAGACTCACTGACAATGCCGACGAAACGTCTTGGAATTTACCAAGATCACGGTCCGACTCTGAAAATTACTAGGCATACTGTGGT